ATTCAATACCTTTATCTGTTAAGGAATAATAATAATACTGCCATGAGAACTGTGTCTTAACATATCCTTTGGAGTTGAGACTTTGGCAAGCTTTGATCACGTGTAAATTAGGTACGTCGATATCCGTATGCTTTGGAGCGTTGAAATCTTTCTTTGCAACTAAAACACCCTCTATAAATCACCAAATATAATAAGCTTTGGTTAATTCATCGAAAAAAGAAAAAAATTAAGCCAATTATTGTAATTATAATTAATATTACCTTTGAAAAGACTTTCATAGATACTTTTGCGGTTTTTCTTTGGAATAAGCATTTTCGCTATCTTATCTGTAATTACATCATCATATTTAATGTTAAATATATTTTTTAATTTGTTACACTTGGATATTTCGCGATGTAAAATTCATCATATGATTCATTTCTTAAAAGTAAACGGATAGATTTGATAAAATTACTATTGATACAAACCTTTTCAATGCAAAATTTAAAGAGAAGGAACGTTTTTTGATTTGTGAAAAAAAGAAATTTAAAATATTTTCTCCGTTTTTACGTTACACCGATTATAAACCAATCATATTCATTTATATCTACATAAAAGATCAGAAAGTTTTTACGTTAAGACGCATCATTCGTCTTCAAACATGTCTGCGACATTTACGGAGGCAGGTTCTTGGAACACCTTAGAACCTAAATTGAGTCTTTTCACGTGAGTCAGTTGCTCGTAATTATTTCATTAATGCTGATAAGCAAATATTAATAATATCCTTTCTATTCCCGTTTAGTTTGGAAACTTTGGAAACTTTAGGTTTTTCAAAAATGACACCTGTTCAAGCAAGTACCATTCCATTGTTTATGAAAAATAAGGATGTAATGGTTGAGGTATATTAGGAAGTGTTATTATTATTGAATTGGATTAATATATATATATATTTTTTATTTTATTTTTTTAAAAAAAAAAAGTATTTGTTGAAATAGGCAGTGACAGGTTCTGGTAAAACTCTTGCATTCGTTATTCCAATAATCGAAAAATTAGTTTATCGGAAAAAACGACTAGCAAGTAATGAAATAGGTGCTTTGATCATCACTCCTACAAGGTTGATTTAATGTTCAGTTATATCCTGTAATTGATTTTTTATATATATTATGTTTATCCATTAAACTTTTCATAATTTATAAATCAATAAAAAAAAAAAGAGAACTTGCACAGCAAATATCATCAGTGTTTTCCATATTTCTGAAAGATCCTTCTTTACCAAAGCATGCACTCATCATCGGAGGTGTTACGACACTTCAAGATGATATTACCGAATTTAAGGAATTGGGTCCGGATATTCTTATAGGAACACCTGGACGATTACAAGATTTAATCATCGGTAGAGGAAATGCGAAAAGTGTGGTGAATACAAAAGAATTAGAGATATTAGTATTAGACGAAGCTGATAGATTGTTGGATATGGGATTCTCTCAAACTTTAAATAATATCATTGCACATTTACCCAAACAAAGACGAACTGGACTATTCTCCGCAACGATAACTGATGCGATCTCTGAGATCGTTCGTGCAGGATTAAGGAATCCAGTGAGAGTTGTTGTCAGGGTTCAAGATATAATTTCAAAGGATGAATTGAGGACACCAGCAACGTAAGGATATAACATATTTATACCATACAAAAAATTCATGTGAAAAGTTATTTATGTGATTTTCGATATTTTATAATATTTGTAAAGTTTGGATATTGGATACATTGTATGTGAACCGCATCAAAAATTAATTCAGTTAATACGAATAATCAATCAGGAAGCGATCGCAAAAAAATATATTGTCTATTTTGCTACTTGTGCTTGTGTTGATTATTTTTATAAGGTATGCGTATCTTTTGTTTAATTTTTTTCCTTTTTCACCAGGAAAATTCATGACTTATTCTACATATGATTTAGATCTTATCAAGGGTGCAACAATTAAAAGGAACATCCATTCATTCATTACATGGACAAATGGATACAAAGAGACGAACGGCCACCTATCATTCATTTCTTAACACTCCGACTACATCAAAAGCACTTTTATTGTGTACCGATGTCGCCGCACGAGGATTAGATATGCCTGATGTAGATTATGTCATACAAATGGATCCGCCTCAAGATCCAAAAGTTTTTTCTCATCGTTGTGGCAGAACTGCAAGAGCTGGAAAAGAAGGCAAGGCTATCGTATTATTGGTAAGAGGAAGGGAGGAAGTGTATGTAGGTACGTTATTACCCATTTGATGAATTTGTCAACTTTATTTTTTATTGTTTGTGTTAAAATATTTTGTATAATTGTATTGCAATTTAGATTTTTTGAAGATTCGAAAAATCCCTTTACGACAACTTTCCTATGTATTACCTGATTCAATCACAACGCAAGACCCCGTCGTTGATGAAGAAAACGAGGTTCTTCTGAAACAAGTTCGAGACATCATTTTAACGGATCGAGATTTACATGACAAGGTAATCTGTGAAAATGAATTACCATTTTTAAAAATATGTTTATACTTATTATGAAATGCTTTCTTAATAGGGTATAAAAGCTTTCGTTTCATACGTTCGTTCATATACAAAGCATGATGCTAGTTACATCTTTCGCTTGAAAGATTTAAACTTGGGCAAGGTTGCCAAAGGTTACGGTTTACTACGGGTAATTATGATATTAATAATTTTTTTTTACTTCTGAAACGTTTAATAATCAATGAATAATTGCTATTAATAATGTTAGTTACCGAAAATGCCCGAGCTAAAAGATTACAAATCCGATGATTTCGAAGAAACCCCTATAAATGTATGTCTTAAACATATTTTGCTGTTCATTTTCTTCATCCAATATTAACAATCATTTGTTTTCAAGATGGATGAATATAAATACGCTGATAAGTCTCGTGAAAAACAGAGAAGGCAAAAATTAACCGAAGCAAAATTAAAATCTGCCACACAATCAGATAAAAGGCATAAACGACAACTACTCCCAAAGGGTCCTTGGTCTGCTAAGAAATTAGCAAAGCAACGTAAAGTAGAACGTAAAGTCAAGAAAGCCAAAAAGAAAGAATTTCTTAAAAAAAGAACGGCAGATGATATGATGAGCTCAAATAAAATCGATGATATGGAAGAAGACGATATGAATGATGATGATGATGATGAGTGGGAAGAATTACAAAAAGAGGAACGATTGGCAAAGAAATTTAAAAAGGGAAAAATTAATAAAGACGAATTTGAAAAAGAAATAGGGTTATTTTCCGATTGAAAAAATATATTGTACTACCTTTAATATAAATAAGTAATTTATTCAATATCCTAAATAAACTTTTTGATTACCATGGTTAACAAATAAATAAACATTTGCAGATTTTTGGCGGGGAAATGAAATATAAATAGAAATGATGTTTTATTAACAATATTTCAAGTATTGCGATCATTTACCAAGGTCAATTAAAAAATTTAAAATTCTTTTTTTTTTCAGCTTTAAAAGATAAACTTTGACAGAAACGATAACAAATAATGCCAGTAGAAGATCCCCGTTTACGTTTACGGCGGGCCGCCTGTGAGGGCAACCTCGATCTTATTAAACGACTTCTTAAGAAAACGAACATGCAAAATCCAGATCCTGAAAATGGATGGTATGAAACTCAAATCATTTTTAAACACTTTTTGTAAAAATTACAACAAACGAGTAAATTCACTTAATTTTTTCCAAAAGGACGACCTTAATGTATGCTACACGTTGTAGACATGAATATGTTGTTGAATATCTACTTCAACTGGGACATGATGAATTAGAACCTTCCAGAGTAAGTTTAGTAACATTTTTAAAACCTATTTTCTTTAACGAATAAGAAAATTTTAACACGACACTCAAATATCTTTAAGGACTTTGAGAATAATACTATATTAATGGTAGCTGCAGAATATAATGCTTTGGAGGTGAATATGAAATGAAAGTCAATTCTTCCAATTTAAATATTTTCATTAATCATTATTAAAAAACAAATTTTTTTTTTATTTGAATTTCTCAGATTTTGAAAATATATACTAAATATTATCCTCATAGTGTCAACATGGTTAATAAACAAGGACAAACAGCTTTAATAATTGCTTCCAAACTTGGTAATCTCGATGCGATTAAAGTAGCTATTCTTTTCTTTCTTCTTTAAGAAAAATAACAATTTCTTGTATGATTCTTTTTTTTTTGATATTCTACAACTTTAACTGTATTTAGTTGTTATTGGAAATTGGTGCAGAAGTCAATCAAGCAGATTTTGATGGAAACACCGCCTTACATTAGTAAGTAATTATTTATTTAATATGATCCTTGATGGTTTAATAGATATGAACATTATATAAATAATTTTTTTATTTATCTTAGATCCGCAGCCTGGAATCATTTTCAAGTAAATATTTTATACTTATTCGATCATCTTGGTTTGACAATAATGAGTAACCTTATTCTTTTTATCAAAGGTGGTAACGATGCTAATTGAACGTGGTTGTCAATTTGCCAGCAAAAATAAATCCGGATGGACTGCATTGGACTATTCATATTCAATGGAGCTGAAAGCACATTTACAGGAATGCGCTCGTGCATATCACGAAGAAACAAAGAATAGTAGGCGACGCAATCTTAAAATTTCAGTTGATTCAATGATATCGCTCGATTCAATACCGATAACAACTCGATCGGCCACCTTTCCACCAGTAAAAGAATTGGTATTGGATAATTGTAATCAAGGAAATCGTTCCTATTCGAATGGTTCTTTATCACCAAATGATTTCAATCCAATGAATCAGATGAAACGAAAGGAGTCTTTACCATGGTGATATTTCTAATTGATCATAGACTTTTATACATATTTATAATTGATAAATATGATGACGGTAAAGTGCTAATTTTGTAATATATATATTTATTTTTATAAATTAATTTGATACATCGTTTACAACATAAGATTTCTTTCGATCAATTAGAATTTGAGAGAATATAGAACAATTTGCAATTTAAAAAACTAATAGATAATTAATTATTTATTTTCTTATGTCATTTATAATGTAATTTTCTATAATGTAATTTAATAAATAGGGCATTCAATTGAATTTGCATAGCCAAATAGCTTACATGATATTTCTAATTCAAAATCAATAATCTCCTTCAATCAATTCGCTCTTAATTTTGTTTTACCTATCTATCATTACGAATTTTGTCAATATTTCAATCCAATAGATGAGTTAACAAGTAACAAAGAATTGAAATAAACAATATCTTTACCTAATTTAAGCTTTGAAGTTCTTAGATAACACGCGTGAATCGAAGCCAAAATACTTCAAGAATCTATTGGTCTATGAATTAGTGAATTCTATTTTGATTTCGAATGAAAACGAAAAAAAAAAGAGTCAGTTTTTGTGTATACTGTTTTCGTAAATTTAAGTTGTTCTCGACAATTCATATTTACTGTTCCATTGGATCTGCCTCGTAATGAATAAATGTCAACACCTCATCATCTTCTAAGGGTTCATTACCACTTTCCAAGCGACGTACAACCTTACCCGGCATTGGTAGGTTAGTTCCAATCAAATAAATCATCTCCCGAAGTGTTTCCATTGGGAATCGATCTTCACAATCTTCTATAATCTTCATTCGCAAAAAGAATTTAATAATCAAGGAGTATAAGATTTTTAAAGAATAGATCTCATTTACCAATTCTAGTTCGGCAATGCTTTGTGGTCTCAAATTGATGATCTGTAATTTTTCGGATTTAGTTAAATTATACTTCTTTAATTCAAATAAAATTGATTCAATTTGTTCAGGAGTTTGAGTTTTTGCTGGTGATTGTGGTGATTTTAGATTTTGTATAACCTTCAATTAGGAAATAATAATAATAATATGATTAGGCTCGGGAAGGGAATCGGTGAATAAATGTTGACAAGCCTGAAGTTCCATTTTTATTTATTCTGCTTTATAAGAGATTTTGTTACTGGCCTTTTTAAGTATAAGTGAATCAGTCGATAAAATTGAATTATACCTCAAATTGAATGGTTTTTAGATTTTCTGCAAATTTGATTTGTGGGTTAATTCGTGCTTGTTCTTTTTGTTTTTCATCCAGTTCACGAAGAAGTGCCAATACTTCATAATTTGAGAGCTGTGCATGTCTCTTTTCAACGATCTTTTGAATATTCAGAAACTAAGTTAGTAAGGTTTATGGTAATTAATACTTCATTAAAATTATTTACCTGCATTTTGAATAAAAAAAAAAAAATAAAATAAATCAAAATATAAAATATTGGTTGTAGTGATCAACAATAAATTTTTTGACTAAAAGCACTTATATAAAATGCAAAATTTTAATGTATAAATTATTAAAGGTTAATTAATATTTTATTTAGAAAAAGCCACCTCTACTATTTTTCATGAGTGAGGGTTTATTTTGTAAAAAATTATTGATATTATCAACGTAATTAATGCAGATCCGGTAACCTCATTATAACATTGGCTGTTAGTATTTTTTTATTTTATTGAAAGCATCGCGTAAATTTATTCACGTGTTTTTTAATTTTGAATAAAAAATAAATCATTTGGTTATCGCGGAATTTAATAGAAACTTTATTTACATTATAATAATTTTTAAAAAAAATCATGGAAACATTATTTTAATATACCGTATTTTGCGGGCCACAGTACCCCCCCTATGTATAATACCCTACTTAAATTTTTTTTCAGTTTTTTAAAATACCCGGATATTTTAGACGGAGATGTCCGATTTTTAACCTTCAAAATATGTAAAATACCCGGGATATAATATTAGGAAAAATTATAATATCCCAAAAAATTATTTAATTATTACTAAATTATTTATTAATACAAATAAACTACCATAACCAGCTACATTATTAATATCCTTTATAATATACTCTCAAATTTTTTAATATACAATGTTCTTCTTCATCAGTTGATCCTTAGTATTCTTCTTCGTTTCCTGCTTCACTTTCTTCTTCACATTCTTTTTCATTAATTTCATTATTAATTAAAAAAAATAATATTAAATAAAAATTATTTTCAACAGGTATTTTATATATTATTAGTATAAAATATTAATATATAATATTTAATTTTTTTTTAATATTACTTAAATCATTTAAATTTTCTACCTCATTATCATCATTCACCGGACCTAATAATGTATCATAATCAAATAAGCAATCATCTTCTGAGCCATCAGTTTTTGTTGAAATTCCATAACATTTAAAGGAATTTCAAATAATATTTTCATCAACTTCATTCCACGATTCTTTAACTCATATTGTAACTGTTGAATAAGAAAGTTTTTTAATCCTTCTAGCTGGAGTAAAATTATGAATAGTAGAAGACATCCAATCATTGTATCAATCTTTAACCTGCAAATTATAAATAAATATGAAATACAGCATATATTAAAAATAAATTAAATATGTTTTGCAATTTTACCTTAGATTTTAAAGCTTTTGTTAATTGTAACATCTAATGATTGCAATTTGGATATACAATTACCTGAAATTACAATAATATTTGTATTCTTTTCTACCAACTAATTTTTAACAGGATTTGTTGTATGATCATGAAAAAAAATCCAATACCAACATAAAACGTGAATTACTAAAAGGATTTCTTAAGATCCATACAATTTCAATCCATCATAACATCTCATCCTCATTTATCCAACCCTTTTCATTAGTTCAAATATAAATATTATATGGAAAATTTTTTCTTGATACATTTTTCAATTTAAAAATACAAACTGCCAGAAGCTTTTTACTATCAGCCATACATGCAAATACAACTATAAAAGATGAGTGTTCATGTCCAATTATATGAATACTAACTGTTTTTGTACCTTTGTGATAAATGGTAGTATTACTTGATAAATCAAACCATAATGATGTCTTGTCTATATTACCAATGTATTGTAATAGATAATCATGTTGAATTCTTCTATATAAAACATAACTCAAAAAAACATTTTGTTTTTCAAGCAAATCTGGTAACAATTGTTATGCTACCATTATTCTATAACATTTACAAAGATCATATCTTCTCAAAAAACCATCAAGCCATTTTCTTGAAAATTTGAATTCAGTAATATTTGGATTATTTGCTAAAAAAATCTCGATCTTTAGACAACGTAATGGCTTTCTTGATAATCAATTTTGACTAATAGAATTTTGATTTGTTCTTCTTTCACTAATACATATAAATAAATCATTTTCTAAGCTTAGATATTTAGCAGATTTACCTGGATGAAGTTTAGCAACATAAAGTGCAGTTGCTAATAATTTTCCTTTATTTTTATTTCAGTAACGCACTTGTTTAGATTGAATATTAAATTTTTTGACAGTTCCATGTTTATTTCCCTCATTATTTTCTAAATAATGCACTACTATTAATTTTTCTTTTACATTTCATTGTCACCGTATCTTTTGTGATAAGCAATTATGTGCTTTTTTATTTCTTTTATTACCAATAACAACCATTTTTTATTTTTAAAATTTTCGCATTACAAATAAAAGATAAAAAACAAGACATTAAGGCACATATAGAATTTATTACATAAAAAATAGGGGTAAAACACGATTTGTATATCCTGAAAAGATGTTCAAATAACTGGGTATTATACATAGTAAGTATTCAGGATACTTTACAAATCTTGTACCCTCCTATGCATAGTATCCGCACTGTATCTCCCCTTGTAATGTATCCTGAGTATAGCCTCCAACTCCTCTTAATATATATCATACTCATAATACTATGGCCCTGTAATATAATACATATATTTTATCTATTACATTATCAATAATTGCTACTACTATAATTATATGAAGACAATTGCATAACTCATATGACAAGACCAAAGATCAAAAAGCAATAAATAAAATCAACTTATAAAGGTAGTAGCTTATTGAATTGAGAAGTCAGAACGATTATTGATTCATAAAAAGTAGTGCAGCTGAGAATTGATAGAATCTATCACATCTAGATGATAGATTTTGAAAATTTCAAAATCAGATCACATACATAGCAAAGGCAAAGATAAACTCTAAACTATTTGAAGGTCAAATCCAAATCAAAAGAAAAAAATTTTCTTCTGATTAGATTCAATATAAAGGTTTGAAACTTTAAATGCGATTCTTATAAATCAAGATTATTGAAATATTAGAAGATCATGCAAGAGGTATGACAGACCTTGTAACTAATTTTATTGATCTCGAGTATTGATATGATTAGTCCATAAGGGAAATATAGCTAATTCATATCAAGAATAAGCAGGAACTCTCACTAAGGTTACTGTCAAGCCTCTATACCTTCAGCTTGATAGTGAAACTTAGCGTACTACCAGTCAGCTTATTATCAGCTAGTAATTAAACCCACTTCTAGCTATGCCCAGCTCACTCTCTTTCCTATTACCTATTATTTTTATCTTCTTCTTTAGCGGTCCATCTGCTATTTAATAAAAACAAAAAATATACATATATATTATTAATAAAAATAACAAAAAATATATATATATATACCACTTCCTTGCTGATGTTTCTAAATAATATAATAAAATATTAAACGTTAATAAAGTTCGTCATTAAACAGTATTTTTTTTTTTAGTCTTATCAATACGAGTTGTTGTTTGTCATGAAAAAAAAATCATTTCTATATAAAGTTAGTTAACTTGCATATATAATATCAATTTACAGAAAATTTTCAAAATAATAAAAATATTATTTGTTCAAATATAACGAAGCATTACAAAAAATTTTTTCGTTAAGAGCTGTAACATATAATGATACTATGAGAAAAATATCTATACT